ACTCAGGAAAGTATGGCGCCACGGAGCTACATCCTCGGCCCTTTTCTTTATCGTTTCAACAAAGGAAGAAGCGCAGACAGAACAGAAGCACCACGGGCCACTCCAGGATGCAGAAGTCACCGCACCGAGCTCCCATCCGACCACACCAAGCCCTGGCTTCGGCAAAGTGCACCCCAGGGCGTTTGCTGAATGAATAACTGAACTTGCCTCTGATGAGTCAGGTTACTTAGCGCTTTCATAGCGTCCCGGGGTCCTAACAGTGAGCAGTTGTCATCACCGCGGTGCCAAGGGTCTGGTCGTGTGCTTCTGTCTGTTTACTCCCCAGGCGCTACCAGGACAGGGTGGGGCGATCCGGCTGCCCAGCGGTGATGGTGACCGGCACAGAGGTCCGGGGCGCCGGGGCTGTGGGAGGAGCCGGGGCCTGCGCCTTCCTCCCCAGGGGACCTCTGGTGGAGGACAGCCCCTTCCGTCCCATTCAGTGAACACCGCCTGAGCACCTACCGCATACCAGCACTCTGGGGGCAGCCCACACCGCGGCGGTTTTAAAAATGTACTTTGGCGGGGGTGGGGGGTGGGAAACTGCATGTGGTGGTGCACACCTATAATACCAGATTACTGGAAGGCTGAGGCAGGAGGGTCTCAAGTTTGTGCCAGACGGGCAATTTAGCAACTGGGCCAATTCCTGTCTCAAAATGAAAACTAACAAAGGACTGGTGAAATAGTGAAGGCCCTGGGTTCAATCCCCAGCGCTACAAGAACAGAAGTGCTTTGGAATCACGCAGGCGGGGGTGCGTTCTGAGTCTTCCACTCCACCCAGGTCGCCCTGACCGAGCTCTGTCACCCCGGGCCCGGGTCCCCAAGGGTGAAAGGGCGGCCGAAGCCCCGCCCAAAGCTCCACAGACGCCTTGGGATCGCCCTGACCGAGCTCTGTCACCCCGGGCCCGGGTCCCCAAGGGTGAAAGGGCGGCCGAAGCCCCGCCCAAAGCTCCACAGACGCCTTGGGCGCCCGGGCCGGCGCTGTCCTCGCTTCCCCTCCCACCCCTGCCCGGAGGCCCTGGACGCGAACCGCATTTCCCACAGCTGGGGCATCGGTGACCCCCAGGCTGCCTGGAACCGGCCGTTCCGTTCCGGCGCCAAGTCAGCCGCTCGCTCCCTGGCCTGCGGGGTCACCGCTGTGGTCCCGTGTGCCCCCTAGCGGCCAGGAGCGCACACAGCCCTCGCCTACAACGGGTGGGGTGGGACTGGTGGATCAGGGAAACTGAGGCACGGAGAAAGCAAGCAAGCTTGCCGCAGGCCCAGGCCGACGTGGAAATCGGGGCCTTGAAGTGCGTTTTCTGAGTCGCTCCTGGCCTGAACTTCGCCCGCACAGCTCACGCACAGTCAGTCGACAAGCACGGGTGAGCACTGGAGTTGGACACCCGGCAGCGGCAGGACCCAGGGTGGAGCGGGCGAGTCTCAGTCCCTAGAGCCATGGGGAGAGAGGTACGGAAGTGGACGGGGACAGTGCCGCCTCTGGGGGGCGAGGGAGAGCTCCGCGGCCGGCTGAGGGACCCGAGTCGTGGAGACGCTCCTGTGGCTGCGACGGGGGTTTGCACAAAGGGAGGAGCTCTCGCGGCACCCGGAGGTGTCTTGAAACAGGCTTCCCCGAACCTCTAGGCTCAGCGATCAGTGCCTCTCCTCCATCAAGCCTCGCCCGACCCCTTCTCACCCCAACTCCGCCCACACAGCGCCCAGCCTGGCTCCTAACTGGTTTGTTCACTGCCCGAGGGTGGCTGGGTCACTCAGCTCTCCCTGGGAGGCAGTGTATCTTTAGTGTTCCTCTCAATGTTTCCAGAAAGAGACACTGGAAAACGTGTAAATTACTTCAAAGTGGACAGAAGGTAACAAAATCGGCAGGGCTGCATCTCCTTTGGCTCAGGTTGGCCTCGGAACCCCCGGCGATTCTCCTGCCTCAGCCTCCCGGATGCTGGGACTACAGATGCCTGGCTGTCTGCTGCCCAGTTTTATATTTCGCTCCTCTTCAGCAGAAGCATTTGCCCATGCGATAATAACTCTTCAGAAGCACCGTGGTTTAAAATGTATTTTGACAGAGTTTCAGAACTAAAAATAATAAATAGCAGGAAGGAGGCTGATTTGCTTCTCGCAGACCTGATCCAGCTGCATCCACATTTCACTCCGCTCCCGTTACCGCCCGAGCGTGGGGAGACGGCTTCCCCGAAGTGTTTGTGTGCGTCCCTGAGTGAGGAGTTCTGCTGAGACCACGCCACCCTCAGCCAAGCAGGCTGCGGACACAGACACCACAGACACCCAGTTACAGCCTCCCCGGAGAATGTCCCTCACAGCCAGAGAAAGCCCGGCATGGTACACTTTGTCCTACTGTCGGGTCTCTTTAGCCTCCTTCGACCGGGGACGCTTTCGAAGTCTTTCTCTATATTTCACATTGTTGATTTTTTAAAGAGTAAGATCCAAGCTGGGCATTGAGGTGAATACCTGTAATCCCAGCACTTGGGAGGCTGAGGCAGGAGGATACCCCGAGTTCAAGCCCAGCCTGAACCACAGTGAGACTGTCCCATAAAGAGAAAGGAAAAGAGAGAGAGAGAGTAAGGACCTGTTACTTGGCAGGCCGCCACTCGGTATGGCTTCGTCGCGTTTCCTCCGGGGAGACACAGGCACGCACCTCCGGCAGGGGAACTGTTCTCCTCAGGTAACCACGGATCTCGGGTGTTTTAGAATCTTGCCATAACTCTGAAGTGAAAGCCCTGAACACCACCCCTTGTCTGCTGGTTTCTTCCCAAGGTTCTTCAGAAGGGGCCCTCGAGCCGGCGTCCACGGCCACCAAGGCCCTGTGCAACGTGATGGCCACAGGGCTCTGACAGTGCGCCCTCCCTCCCGCCTCCCGGTGCCAGGCTGCAGGTCCCAGGCCCGGGGCGCTGCCGTCTGTGGCCACAGTGGGCGCCCGGGAGTAAGGGCTGGGGGCCGTGATGAGGCCGCTCACCAGCCAGGAGGAGGGGCCCATGTCCCATTGGGGCTGCTCCCAGCAGGCAGTGATGGCCGAGGGGAGACAGAGGAGCCAATACTGCAGGTGCGTGTGCGCTTGTGTGTGTGTGCACGTGCGTGTGTGCGCGCGTGTGTGATCTCCACCAGCCAGCAGGACACTGCACCGAGGCTACGCCCGGCTGGAAGCGATTCCGGGCCTCAGGGCCACGGTCACTCGGGCTGTCAGAGAGAGGTTCGTGGCCAGGAAAGAGGCAGCCCCAGGGGTCCCCAGACACGCGCAGCCCCAAACACCGTGGGGGTGCAGGCCATTGGCTTCCACGCACTGGGGGCAAAAGCAGCCCACGCACAGACAAGTGACCACCTGGGACAGCCCCCGAAGGACGCCACACCCGGGGCAGAGAGGCTCGGCGATTCCGAGAGAAGAGGTAGAAGGGAGGGAAAGCCATCAAAGTCACTGCCAGTCCTGATGGGCTCGCGGGCCCCCCACTGGCTGGGCGATCGTATGGGACAGCAGAGACACCCGGGGCAGGGGTGACATTTTCCCCACGAAGCCTTGGCTCGCAGGGGAGGCCACGGAGGCTGAACAGTTGTGCCAGGCCTGACAGAGAGATCAAAGTGTCGGGATGAGGCCACAGTGTGACCGGACGAAATGTGTCATTCTGACTCAGTTTTGCATCTCACTTTCAAAAAAATACAAAAGTCTGAGAAGCAGTTGTGAAATGACCTGTCATCCCAGCATCCGGGAGGCTGAGGCAGGAGGATCACCATGAATTTGAAGGCGTACTGGGATGCATAGTGAGTTCAAGGCCAGCCTGAATATATAGTGAGATCCCATCTTTAAAAACAAAACAAAACAAGACAAAATGGAAAAAGAAAATAAAACAAACATGAAGAGTATTTTACTTTTAAGTTTACAGTTTGTTTTAAGAGGGGGGAAAAAAAGACAGACCCCTTAGGGACGGAACAGTTCTCTGGTTCTCCGCCAGAGGGCAGAGCTGGCCAGAGTTGCACAGAGAGGCTGGGCTCCAGCGCCTCCGCGTGAGGGGGAGGGGACCGAGGGGCCGAGGGCGGGGGCAGC